CCCGCCGCTGTGGGTGCAGTCCCCGGTCCGCCCGCACCTAGGTCGCTGCTCTTCCGCCCGCGCGCCCCCGGCTGCACCTGTTCGCGCGGCCTGTGTGAGGTGGCCTCGCCCCTGCCCTGCCACGGCGGCCAGGACCTTGGGCGGAGCCTCAGCGCGGTCGGGGAGTTGCGCCGAGTCCCGGGAATGTGCTGGGATCGTCGGTGCGATTGCCCTTGCTGTCCCTGCCGCGGACGTAGCAGTCGGTCCCCCCCACCCCGAATTCCCGGCCGCCCCTTGACGTAGACAGGACTTGTCGGCCTGGTGGTCTCCGCTCCGTGCTTAGCCATGGCCTTGCCTTCCTCCCGGAGCGCGTCTCCGCCAGTATTAGCTAGGGAGTACAGCGGGACCTAGTGCCTTCGCTCCTGGACCACCGTAGAGGATGTCAGCCTAAGGAATTGTTTAAAGAAACCCTAGGTGAGGAGGGGCCGGCAGGTGGCGTGGTGCTTAAGGGCGCTGTGCTCCCCCATGGCTAGCCGGTTCGAGTCCCGGAGCTGGCGGCTTGCTTTCTCACTTTCCCCCCTCTCTCTCGCTCTGTCCCTCTGGTCAAATTTAAAGAAAGGGAAAAAAAAGTAAGTAAAGTAAGTAAGTAAAATTAGATGATTCTTAAAAATGAAAGGAACCTTAGGTGAGAAGACCAGTGTAGTAGAGAGAGAACATGGGCCTGGGTCATAGGCCAGTTCTACCACTAAAAAGTTCTGCAGTGGGGTTCTGTGTAACACAGGAGTTCCAATTTAAATGTATGGCTTTGAATCAGAGTAGCGACTCCTGGCTGTGTGATGGTGGACAAGTCACTTAACAGCTAGATTTTTGTCTATAAAATATGGATACTATACTTAAACTAGAGGCTGACAGTACACATTCGATAAATGATAGGCATTATTATTTCAGTATATTGTCTTCCTAAACCTCGGCTTTCCAGTCTTAAAATGAACCTGTCTGATAGGCTCGTTTGAAAGATAGGCAGTATTACACTTTGAAAATGCGTCGTAAACTGTAAAGCATCAGTTAATTATAATTTGTTTTCCTATACCTGTCAACTGGCAGAATTAGGCAAGAAGTTCCTCCAGCACAAATATTCTGTGACTTAGTTATCACTTTTGATCACTTGGAAATTTCTTTGGGGGGGTGTAAATGTTTAATTATGGCACTTACTAACTGGTAATTAAGAATCATGCCTACATTAGCAAATGTAAGAAGCATTTGTTAACAAGAGTATACATTGTTACATGCATTACTAAACTATTGGCATTTCTTTACCTCTAATTAATGCTCTTTCCTTCCCTCTTTTTTTAATTGTTTCATTGTGAAACTAGAGTAAACTCATGAAGTAAATGTTAGCATGTCAGCCGTTACCCAAACATGGATAATGCCAACATTAGCTTGCATTTCATTCCAGGCTTTTTTCCAACACATAGTTCTTTTCTTTCCTCCTTTTTCAGGATTATTTTAATTGTATTTATTTTAATTTGACCAGAGAGGTAGAGTGAGAGAAAGCGAAAGCAAGCCGCCAGGTCCAGGACTCGAACTGTGTTCAACCATGTGGGAGTCCAGCGCTCTTAGCCACCATGCCACCTGCCGGCCCCCAGCGCATAGTTCTTTTAAAAGAAATACTTGTAGTTATATTTCACAAACAATTTTTATCCTGATATTTTTCATTTAACATTGAATCCAAAGTGTCCATCCTGTATTCATCTAGTGAATATACCAGAGTTTGCTCAAGATTCTTGGTGTACTTTGCAAAGACATCTATGTGATTGGATTTCTGTTAGTGACATGTGACAGTCCTGTGAAAGATGGTGTCAGCACTGTCAGATACTCTGAAGGCTATGTTGCCCTGCCGTGAACTTTAAGGATCAGGATTGACAAACCTGGGAGGCTGGTTGGTGGCAGAGCGGTAAAACGTGACTCTCTGGGAGGCTGATGGGAAGTTCTGATGTAAGGCTGGAGACCTACTTAAGTGAGCAAGACCCGAGGTACCCACAACACGGGCATCGTGGGGTCAGGACTCTGGCGGGGGGTCCAGCAGGTGGTGTGGTGATTAATGTGCTGGAATTACATTACATGGCTAGTTCTGTGGTTCAAGTCCTGGGACTGGCAGCTTAAAACACGTGAGGGGCATGTGGACGTGCATGCCCAGCATCCCTAGAGAATGGAGGAGAAGGGACTGTGGCATGGCCATCCTCCTGGGGGATGATTTCTCACTTTTCCTCTCTCTCTCTCTCTCTGGAGTATTCTGGAGTACAAGCACTGTATGGCAGAAATCTGAAAAACAGAAAATACCTGTGGGGGGTGCTCTGTCTCTATCTTTCTGTCTGTTTCTCCTGCTTATGAAAGAAATGTATAAGCTTTAAAAAGCTCCAGTGAAAGAAAATAATTGACACAAAACTGTACTGTGCACTGTAGACATATACAATGATGACATGTAAATAAAAATAAATTAAGTAATTAATAACAAGAAGACTTGATGACATGTAAATAAAAATAAATTAAGTAATAACAAGAAGACTGGACAAACGTGGTCACAGCCTTGAAGGAGCTGATTGTCTGCGGTTGGCAAATAACATACTTCTGTGAGGTATATTAACATTATGGGGGTAAATTAATTCTGTAAAATAATCCATTTTATATCGATATGTAAACTGTCTCTTAGATCACTCCAGTTCAGGTTAAAATTAGATGACTTTTGCTTTGTTACATAGTCAGAAATAAAATAGGCAAATTACTTGAGTAAAGGAAAGTGAGAGATAAAAGAGGACTTACTTTTCTTTTTTTGGTAGAGGTTTTTGCCTTAGGGCATGCGTACTGCCCAGAGAGGCTGACAGGGAGAGGGAAAGTGAGAAGCCACCCCCAGGCAGGATGGCCATGCTGCAATCCCTTGTCCTCTATTCTCTCAGGATCTTGGGCATGCAGATACACACTCCAGGCGTGAGTTTCAAGCCACCAGGTCTGGGACTCGAACCCCAGTTGGCCTTGTGGGAGTCCAGCGATGCAACTGCTATGCCATCCGTTGGCTCCCAAGAGAACTTACAGTTTTTTGTATGATTATGAGGAGGGTAGTGGTGGGTACCATTAGAATGAACTATTTGCTGAACATTCACTTGGTTTTACCATAATTAAAGGTTGAATTAAATTCGTGATGACTTGAGTCTAATTTTGGGAGAAGACATGGAAACTGTTGTAATGAATAACTTTTGCCTGCGTTCAGTGATGTGAGGGTGGGTTACAGTTTTGAGTTGAATCTGATCCGTCTTTCTGGGAAGGTTTGTTTCCATTCCGGGCATCAGGAAGAGAAATCCTTAGGGTTCTCCAGTATTTCTTTCCTTTGAAATGTGATCTGTTTTACTGTTTTTTAACTAACAGCGGGAAATAGTTTATGACCGAATAACCATGTTGGTATAAATATACTTAAAATAAGAACCACTAGGCCTCTACTGTGGATAAGTGCGGCTGTGTGGACTTTATGAGAAACGTTTTCATCTGCTAAAGGGCATGTGCACCTACCAGAGAGAGACAGAGAGAAGGAAAGTGAGAAAGCACCTGCCCTGGCTATGGTCAGGCTGCAGTCCCTTCCCCATCTCTCCTTCCCTTCAAAGTTTTGGGTGTGTGCATGCATACATGTCTGTCGTGTTTCTCAAGTGGCCATGTCCTGGACTTGAACTGCATAGTTGGCCATCTGGGATCCAACTCCCTCAGACCCCACTTGGCTCAAGAAACTTTTTTTTTTCCCATAGGGCACATGTGCTCGCTGGAGACAGAGAGATATCAGAGAGATAGAAGTGAGAAATCACCCCCTCGGGGAGATGGCCACACTTGCCATCCCTTCTCCTCCATTCTCCTTTCCAGATTTTGGGCATGCACACACACACACATACCTGGTGTGATTGTCAAGACACTGGGTCTGGAACTCGAACCACAGTTGGCCATGTGGGAGTCTAGTACCTTAACCACCACACCACCTGCTGGCCCCAGGAAACTTAATTTTTTCTTTTGTCAATCAGAGGGGCCAGCAGTTAGCATAATGGCTATATGTCCTAGAACTCCCATGTAGCCGACCACCATTCGAGTCCCAGACCCGGTGGCTTAAACTCACGCGGGTGCGTGTGCGTGCGTGCCCAAGATCCCGAGAGGAGAATGGAGGAGAAGGGATTGCGGCATGGCCATCCCCCCTGGGGGGGTGATTTCTCACTTTCTGTCTCTCTGGCAAGCGCATGTGCCCTATAGCAAAAAACTCTCCAAAAAGAAAAAAAAAAAAAAAAAAGAATCAGAAGCCTAATTTGCAGTACTCTGGATGGCAGACATCAGATAAAACGGGCATTCATGACTTAACAGTGAAGGCTTTTAAAAGAAAATGAAGGTTCAGGACACGAGGGACTTTGGGCGTGGTTATACAGTGTGAGCGTAAATGTCAGTACTTTAAGACCAGAGCTCTTTCCACCTCACTTTTCTTTTATAAACATTTTTCTTTTATTCTGGAAAAGTGTTTCTGATAAGTATTTATTAAACACAGAGCTAGTCTCTGTTCCAACTACTGCAGCTAAAATGATGACTCAGATACTGTTCTTACCCTCAGGAGGAAGGTAGTGAAATGGTGTTATACTTGGAAAAACATTCAAGTTTAGCATCTTAAGTTTCTGGAGACTTGGTTTTAAAAGGTCTATAGGCCATTCAGTTTCTGCATCTGAACAAACATCAGAACATCTGGATTCTTTTAGTGAAATGTAGAAATTCGGAGATTTTGTAATCATG